TCGGAAAAATTCTTTCACAGGCGGATGCCCCGTCTCAGTGCGAACGATATGGACCGTATACGGTCGCATTCGGTGTTGATAAAAAATTCAAAATTTTCGAAAATTTTTAATTTTTTTTTTCTTCGAAATTGAATTTTTCCTGTACACTTAGGTGCGGGCCAACCGTTGGTGAAAGAATTTTTGCGCTATCTTCAATAGTTCGCCAGATATGTTCTCTTGAATATTTAATTCTCGATTTCGAAAATAACACTTGGTCAAAACTTCCGATAGCTATAACTCCGAAACGGAATCTCTCATATTCGACGCAGAGCACAGTATCTCTGGATAATTCTGATAATACTTCCATGGAGATCGGACTACTCAGTCCGGACATAGGGGTCATCCTGTGGCCTCAGAAAAACATTAAAAAGAACCAAAAGCAAATTCCGCGAATCGGGTCGGTTCTGACGCGGACCAGGAGTGTCAGAATTTAAAACTGCTTCCGTCGAAAACTTGCCGCATTCATTGCGCTTCGAACGAGCCATGTTTGGTACGGATCGGACGTACATCTGCGGAGCTATGGATTTTTTTTCGCACCATGTTTGCGAGCGCACCGCTCCTAAGACTGACGTTTTATGAGCTGTAGCTGGAAAACGGTAGGACCTATCGGAAAAATTCTTTCCCAGACGGATGCCCCGTCTCAGTGCGAACGATATGAGCGGTATGCGGTCGTATTCGGTGTTGATGAAAAATTCTAAATTTTTAAAAATTTCTGTATTTTTTTTCTTCGAAATTGAATTTTTCCTGTACACTTGGGTACGGGCCAACCGCTGGTGAAAGAATTTTTGCGCTATTTTCAATAGTTCGCCAGATATGTTCTCCAAAATATTTAATTCTCGATTTGGAAAATAAAACTTTCCCACAAATTCCGACAGCCATAACTCCGAAACGGAATCTCGTGGGTGGGCGATTTTGCTCTCAGCGCAGAGCACAGTAGCTCTAGAAAATTTTGATAGCACTCCCACTGCGATCGGACGACGCAGTCCGGAAATAGGGCCCAACCTGTGACCTCACAAAAAAATTAAAAGAACAAAAAGCAAATTCCGCGAATCGGGTCGACTCTGACAGGACAATTACTTATTTCCACGTTAAATTTTGTAATTTGTTCGAGGACAGTTAGTTTTTTACTATAAAAAGTTATATTTTTGAGAAACAACGTTTCACAACTTTCCTTATAGTTAAATTATAAGAATTGTAATATTTTATGTATGTTGGGTTGTCTGTATACTGTATTACAAATTGTAGTTTTCATGAATGTAAAAAGAAAAATATAAATTAGGATATCTAATTGGGTGTACAAAGAAAAATATAATTAAAAGGTGAAAATTAATAAACCTACTGCAATGAAACTGGAATTGTAGCTTAATTATAGCGCTTGTTTTAAAATGTCCCGGCGCCTCCACCAAAATTTTAAATAATTTTTTTAATATTTACTAATAACGTTTCTGTATCTTCATGAATGTTTGATTTTGCAGATGTGGCTCATATAATTAGTTGTTTTGGGGCCTTTTGGCACTATAATTCCCACATGTTCACTTAGAAGTGTAGATAGAAAATTAAATCTTTTGATAATTTTTTACAGCGCATGATAGTTTTACAAATGATGAGCTTTTATCATTTTTGATTGAATTTTTTCGGTTTTATTTAATTTCTTTCCTTATCAATTGCAGTTATGTAACTTTAGCAATTTAAAGTTATAAAAATGAGTAAAGGAAATTTTACAAGAAGTATATGTATCTTCAAAAGTATTACTAATCAATTATTTCTACGTTAAATTTTGTAATTTTTTCGAGAATAGTATTGAGTTTTACGTTAAAAAGTTATTTTCTTAAGAAACAACGTTTTATAACATTCTTTATAGTTACATTATTAGAGTTGTAATATTTGGTGTATGTTGGGTTATCGATATATTATATTACAAATTGTAGTTCAATATTTAATGGGTGCAAAAGGAAAATATAAATTGGCATCCCTATTTGCGTCTACATAAAAAATAAATAATTTGAAGATGAAAACTCATCATGCTACTTCAACGAAATCAGAATTATAGCTTAATAATAGCTTTTGTTTTAGATTGTCCCGGCGCCTCCACCAAAATTTTCAATAAGACTTGCCGATAATGTTGGTATACCCTCATGATCGCCTCGTAATTTCGTACAATTACCTATTGTGTATAATACTAACATTTTCAGGCGATATTGATTGACATCTAATGTCATTAATAGCAATCGAGAATATATGAAATCGAGTTTGTATTCGATATCTATTAACAGGCATAAGTGTAATGCGAAAAATCTAAATTGGACAATAAATTAATTAAAATTTAATTAATTAGTACTTATTTTAAAAGAATTTATTTTGATAATTTATATGTATACAAAATCCTAAATGGTTTCATAGACAGTCCGAGGATTTGTGAGTCATTTAATAAAAGAGCTTTATCATCACTACCACTCTCCCCAGATCTCCTTTAGATTTTCCACCAATTTTGCAAAAGCATATCTGAATGTTCTTACAACACGATGTTTCACAAGCAGTCATACTCCAGATTTTGATCCCGTACTTGGCTGGATTGCTTTTCATGTACACCTTAACAGAATATCCAGCCCTATACAGGGTGTCCCAGTTATAATAATTAAAAAAAAAAACATGGCTTCCTGACACAAAATACAACAAAAAAGTGTTATACAATTTTTCAATCCAGTGACAATTGAGCTCGCAAATCGTCTTTGTAAATTTGAACGTACAATTTGTTTCATTACGGACCTGGATCTAGGCGACCAATGTCGCTCAGCTGATCTAGTGTGGATGTAACAAGTACCTCCCGGGAAGAAGCCGAATGCANTTGAATAAAATAAAATAAAAATAAAAATAAAATATTTTTAAGGAGCCAGAAGGGGGCATTGGCGACTCCCATTAAAAGACTTTAAAATTTTAAAATTTAAATAAAAATGGCTTTAAATTCAGGGGCTATTTTAAGAAATGTGAATCCTCTCCTTAACAAATTATTTGAAAGTCCTACTTTTATAGAATTGTTCTTAAGGATCTCAGTGGCCACAAGACAAGTGAGTCGATGGGAAAAGGTCACGAAACTCTTCAAATTGGGGGAATTGTCAATTGACCCTTGAAAAATTAAGGATGTTACATCTTCTGCGCTAATCTTTAAGAACAGATTTCTTTCAATCAGAGTTAATTGGTAGGCTAAGGTGCCAGAATCGAAGTCCCAAGCGGTAAGATTAAGCTCCATTCTTAGGATTCGAGTTAAATCTTTAACAGAAGGTTTCCTAGATGATAAGCAACTTTCTGAAAATAATTATACCTAAGATATAATCAAACCCATTTCATATCATTTTATATTTTACCATCTGAGTTTTCACTTTTACTCCAGTCTGAAGAAGCACATTTGTAAAGAATAATAGTTTCGTTCCTTCTAATTTTTTTGTTAAGATCAAAATTGCTAAAGGGCAGGTTTCTCGTTGCTTCATAGGTAATTAATTGAGATGAATGATTTTTCTTGCTAACTGGAAAGGTATTGTATAAAAGACATCAGTCAAAAGTAAAGAATTTTGACGATAAATGATACTTATTTTAGGTGTACTTCAAAGCTATTAAAATTTATTTATATAGAACAGTAAGTTGTACCCATCATCATAATAAGGTCGTCAGTCCTAAGACTGGTTGGACACGTACCTCCAGTCTTACCTATCCTGAGCAATTCTTCGCATTTCCCTAAAACTAGAACCGCCCACATCCTTAACTATTTGCGAACAGTAATCTAATCTAGGTCTACCTCTACCCCACCTAACTCCTGTTTCTGCCTCTAATATGTCTCTGACTAGACCTTCATGCCTGAGAAGGTGTCCTACCAACCTCTCTCGCCTATTTTTTATTGACTTCCATAAAGCCCTCTGTTCACCTATTCCTTCCAATACCTCTTCATTTCTAACCATTTCTACCCAAGTTATCCTCATCATCCGCCTATAACACAACATTTCAAACGCTTCTAACCTTTTCTTTTACGCCGCGCCCACTGTCCATATTTCGCACCCGTACAGCATCGCGCTCTAAACATACACCTTTAACAATCTTTTTCGAATTTCTAAATTAACCGTTCGCGAGCATAGAAGTGACTTCTTTCTATTGAAGGCGACACGACCCTGCGCTATCCTTTGCTTTATATCCCTACTACTATTCCTTCCATCCATAGGTATATAAAATCAGCCATTTCTTCTAATTTTTCGTCTCCTATCTTTATATTCGCTCTTTCCCTACTTTTTCTTCCCTTGCATACCAGTATTTTAGTTTTACTTTTATTTATTTTCATACAGTACTGATCTGTCAGTACCGCTTCCATTTTATTTAAAACTATCTCTGACGCCTCCTTGCTAGATGCTAATACTGCTATATCATCTGCAAATCTAAGCATTCTAATCTTTTGCCCTTGCACATCTATCCCTACAATTGTTATGTCTTTAATGCTGTTGATCGCGTCTTCGATGTATAGATTAATAATATAGGCTAGGAGATATAGCACTGAAAAATAACGGCTAACAAACCTGTTTCTTTTGGAATCATTTGATAGCTTTTTGATTTATTTCTTATAATTTTGTGTCTGCTTACTGAAGATTCGCTGCCATAATCGGATCTGTGAATCCAGAAAGGATACGTTCTACGATGAAAATTATTGTTCCATTCGTACTGATTGTGATGCATTTTATTATAAACTACCCGCGCGTGATTGTTAGTCTGTGTTGATTTTTTTCAAAAGTGTCCAAAGATACTGTCGATGATGAAGATGGCATTATAGTACGAGTTCCTTTCAAAACGTTTACTTCAGAAGCATTCCTTTTTACCTGTAAATTACCTAAGTAAGAAATAATCTAAAGAGTGACTTTTAAATCCAATATTGCATTATTATCAAAATGTTTTTCGATACTTTAATGGAATATCTTTCTCCTGATCGTACATTCCAGGTCCCAAAAGTTTGAGAAATGTTGGGGTCTGGTTGAAGTGCATACTTTCTTTCGTGTTTTGCTTTCGAAATTTGACTGTTTCTTTTAGATTGTAGGTATTCCCAAATCTTAACAGCTTCTTCAACTATGCTGCAAATATTAATAATATTTGATTGAATGGTTTTTGTTAGTTCAGGGTCAGGTTTTGTGGGTTCTTCATTGACCTAGAAAATTGTTCAACTTATTCCACTTCTCTACAACAAACTTTGAGGCAGAGTAACTATGAAACACACTGTCAGATGGAGGTATCTATCTTTCATTTAAATTGAACTCGAGGAATTTCTCTTAATATGTATGTTAGACCCGAAGACCGAAAACGCTCAGTGGCCGGAAAAAACGGTCACATCGCGTTCTGGCTGCCTTCGAACGCACAGAACGCGTTTTGTCTGTTTTTACACGCTCGCAACGCGTTCTGGTAACTGTTAAACAGACGAAATATTATTGATACCTTTGAAACTGTTTGATGTAACTTTTTGGCTTTAATAAAACTTTCTGTAGGAAGATACAGTCCGGGTAAGCACTTTTCGTCAATACCTTTTCCAAATCTATTAACGCGAAATGATTTTTCTTGTGTAAAATCTGATGGAAGCTTTTTTCTTTTTCCCTTTTCATTATCAGGCATTCCACATCCAAATCGGTTAATTCGATGAGCAAATTTCGACATGCAAAAGTCTGTGTTATCGCAATCACATTGTTTCGAGTAATCGCTCCTGAAAAGTTTTCAGAAGAAGGTTTCCTATTATTATTTACAGATAAAACGGCAAAACCTTTCTGTTTTACGTGAACACAGCAGTTGACATTTAGTTGGAAAGTAAACTATAGGGGTGTAATCCAATGGGAATTCTTCGAAATTGTGACCAATAAACAAATATTTATCAGTCCATTTCTTCCAAGTCTATGAAAATCGAAGTGATTGCCGAATAATGGGTATCAGTTATCTTTTCTTAGTATCAATAAAAATTAAAAAGAGCATTTATGGTACTCAAATTTATTTAATTTTATTTGGCATTGCCTTCACTTTATTTGAAATTACTTGTGTATCTACCTACGTACTTTAGGCCTTATGTTGCAACCAGTCTTATCGAACGTACACCAAATTTGTACTTTATTTGAAGACGGTTTACGTTTAATACTAGACAAATTGTTTATATGTGATGTTGTACTTGCAGTACTCGAACTACCGGCCGAAGTTTCACTCGCGGAATTTTGATCGTTTCTATTTATATAATTTATCCTGTCGCACCACGTTCTCCATATCGTCTGAAAGTTAAGTTAACAAAAATTGAACTGATGCTATGTTTGTACATTATCGTTTTTAGTGGGATTGAATTTTTTGAAGAGAAACTTCTTTACGCACGGTAGAGTAAGTTCGTTTCATGCGAGTTTCTATGTAACGAAATCATGCAACGGATGTCCCCCCTCTACTCGGCCACGTAGTCGAGTTCGTAGTGGGGATCGCTTGAGCCGTGAGCGCGCTTCAATGCAACGTTGGTTACAGGCAACTCCGGCATGTATAGTGTAGCTAGGGTTGCCACCCGTACTTTAAAGTATTGTACTGTATTTCGACTGTGCGTACGTTATACTTTACAAGACACATAAAGTACGCAAAAATACTTTATTTAAGGTCTTAAGTAAACATCGTAATTTTGTAAGCGATTATTCGAAATTCAGAGTATTTTTACATCAATAATATTGCACAGAAAAATGGCAAGCCATATTTACGGAACAACCTGATTTCCCAAATCTGTTCAAAGTAGTGTCACTTTTGCTGTCCGTTCCGGCCACTTCAGCATTTACAGAAAGAGTATTCTCTGTTATGAACGCAAAGTGGCGGGACGACAGGAATAAAGCTTCATTAAAACTAATTAAAAATGAACTTTTAGTTTACTTAAATCTTTGTTTGCCATGTTTAGAGGCTATTAATGTATTTAAGAGCGACAGCAATTTGTTACTGGCTGCTAGGTGTAACAAAAAATATGTTTTTAAAAACAAAAAATAAAATACTTTATTTTTATGTTGAGTACTTTTTTTTTGAACCTTTTAGTCGAGAAATACTTTATGTAAAGCCTGAAAAGGTGGCAACCCTAAGTGTAGCCCTAAAAAAATGTATGAATGTATTTGTATGTTTTTGTGTATGTGCGCCTACACTCTACAGTCGAAACGACGCCACTGACGCCAACTCCTTAACCCCTGTCCCGGTATGTTTGTGTGTTTGAAGAAGTTTCACTTCAGTGGCGTGTTGTTAATTACACGTTGTATTTTTTTCTTCTCAATCTTAATCTCTTCTTAATTTTATTGGCAGGTCATGAAAAGCTTCTTTGTTTATATTTATATATACAAGATGGTGATTTTAAAACCTGCCAGGAAAATCTAGAAGCGAAATTTTTTTCTCGGAAATCCCTGAAACAAGTCGATCGTGTCGTCATTGGGGACATCTTTTAAATCTTCTAAAGGGGCTGACAACTCCTACAATAATCTTAAGTGACATGGGGGAAGAGAAGGGTCAATTTAAAGGTATTTTCATTTACTTTACAGATATTGTGAAACTCTTTTGTATTGTGTGATAATTAATCTGAAAACCCCGTTGTCGGAGTCGTAAATTTTCTAAAGAGATGGGTTCCATTTTGCAGATAACATTCTTTCGATCACCTCTTAATTTAAGGAATCCCGTGGTTTTAAATTTTGCCACCTTGGAGGCCATTCAATGGAAAATACATCATTCCCATGTGTGTGATGTACATGATCTATCAGTTTTATGAATCTTCACAATGCAATGGTAGATTAGGTCTTCAAGAAAGTTGAGTAAGATTCAGCGTTAAAAAAAAAGGACCAACAATACTATTACCCAAAATTCTAGCTCATTCATTTAACTTTTCTGGAGACTGCGGATGACGAATGCCATTCTCTCATAATTCTACAATTCAAATCACTCCAATATCTGCAATCATGTTTGTTGACGTAACCATTAAGAATGTGTTATCATCAGACAAGTATGTCGAAAATGAAAAATTCGGATGCTTCAGTTCTTTCACTCATCTCCTCACAACATTGCATATATAATGATCTGGATGTTCATTATGCTTTAGCACGAGATCGAAGACTTGTACGTGGAATTCCTGAAGTATGTTCCATTTTTCTGGTGCTTGATGCAAGATCCAGTTCAACTGCCCCAAAAAGGAAACCTTTGCATCCTCGTTAGTAACAGATCCAGTCTCCATGACTAGATACCAAGCTTCTTATAAAGACGTGACTGAGATTCATATCGCGATGTGTTCGATTCGATACAGTAAATTATGATGATTTGTAAAGTTTGCTTCAAAATTAGTTACAAATAACAAATTAGCAACCAACACTATCTAAATAACATTACATATATAAAAGAAATTATGAGTGCTGTCAGCACAGAACAAAGTAGTATTACGTAGTTAGGATCAGCAATTTCTTATGCTGAAGCGTACGATGTGTTGCATACCTATTTGCAAACAATTTCTTTAAATTTAGTTTTTCAAACAATTTTTAACACAAAGAAAGTGATTAAATAAATTGTTCACAAAAGTGAATTTCGACCACTCGATGCCATGGTGTTAACAGCTTCGAGCTCACCGTGACTGATAGGGGGGAACAAGTGGTTCTAATAACAAAAGAAACTAATGCCCGAGAGCACTATTAGGTAATGCGCCCCTTACATCCACAAGATGTCGCCCTTGAAGACAAGATCGACTTGTTTTAATGATTTCCGAAGAAAAACTGAGATTTAAAATTTTCTAGGTGGAAAGTTTAAAATTTAAATATTCTTACTTGACGTTTTTCCGTTCCACCCAATTCAAAATACCAAACTTTATTAGTACAAAATTTGACTTTAATCGTACACTTTCTTCTTCGATGAAAGATGCTGACGCGAGCGTACTGGAGAGGGAATACCGAAATTAATTCAAAGTCTACAATGTCTGCATCTAAATCGCGAAAAATTCTGCAATCTTTTCTTTTGTTACTGTTCACCACATCGGCTGCCATAATTAGCTTTGTTGGTGTTAGTCCTAGGGCATGATAGAAACCAAATGAACCATTTTAATATACCATACTTAAGTTATATATTTACCAGCGATAACAATAAACTACTGTGAATTTTTAATAACTTTTTTTATAACTCTTTGCATTTACTTAGGCATTCATTTACTTAGGCATTCATTTACCTAAATTAACTTGTCTTAACCCTTTTCCGTCTCTGTCAGTTTGTGCGAACGGACTTTCAACTAAAATAACGTCTTCAAAATCGCAGTATTCAGAAAGCAGTAGTTTTTGAATCCTATTGAGAGACATGTCTTACAATTTGAAATCATGAAACACTTCCTGTACTTTTTGGTCAAAATTATTACACTCACTTTTCTGACAGACGTCATATAAAAAAAGTTTTACACCGTCAGAAAGAGTTTGTTGTTTAAAAAAATCATGTCCTTGTTGCCTAGTTACACAGAATATTACTAGAAAATCATTAATAATAACAATAAATAATCTATGAACTGTATAATGGAAAGGTGGGAATATATATATGTATGNGAAGACCGAAAACGCTCAGTGGCCGGAAAAAACGGCCACATCGCGTTCTGGCTGCCTTCGAACGCACAGAACGCGTTTTGGCTGTTTTTAAACGCTCGCAAGGCGTTCTGGTAACTGTTAAACAGCCGGAACGCGTTTTGTCAATTGTTGAACGCTCACAACGCGTTCTTAATATTCGACTTGTATTATTTGCCGCTTTCTACCTGCGTACAATGAGATTTATATTGTAGCTATTTATAAAACAAATGAATTTCAATCCATTTTTAAGTTTTTAGGAAACAATTCCATTATTGACAACTATAATTGGATACCAAAGATGGGTTCGGTTTTTCTCGCCGAATCATTTCAACAATATTAAATTTCTTATAATTGTTTTTCAGTTCACAGTTATACTGAATACTTATATTGTCGAGACTCGTGATTCTTGGGCGCATTTTGAGCATGCTCAACTTCTCCTACAAGCAGTTTGTACCTTTCCTCAGACAGCAACATAGATCTATCGTCACAACTATCAATAATTGGTTTTATTTTATCGTAAAAAATTCCTTTCGCTGATTTATCAGACATTTTAATGAAAGTGTAACTTTTCAAACGACTTTAGTAAGTTGATTAGTCAATGACAGACTGATCTTCTCGCTACACTGACGAGAACTGTACTGATTTTTCATTCAGTGTGACTTTCTTCCTAGAACTGAAAAACAATTATAAGAAATTTAATATTGTTGAAATGATTCGGCGAGAAAAACCGAACCCATCTTTGGTATCCAATTATAGTTGTCAATAATTGAATTGTTTCCTAAAAACTGAAAAATGGATGAAAAAAATGAAAAATGGAAGTACAATATAAATCTCATTGTACGCAGGTAGAAAGCGGCAAATAATACAAGTCGAAGATTAAGAACGCGTTGTGAGTGTTCAACAATTGACAAAATCGAAGGCAGCCAGAACGCGATGTGGCCGTTTTTTCCGGCCGCTGAGCGTTTTTGATCTTCGGGCCTAACATATATATATAATAAATGGTGAACAAAAGGTAATTGATAGTCAAAATAGAAAAAAATATATATTTTACTGTATTTGAGCCCAGTGATTAAGCTTAAAATACTTTGAAAATACACCCTGAAAGTTACATTATCTTTTTTGTTTATTAATCTTACCATCCAAAGACCTAAAGTAAAATGATTGTTAAATGTATTTGTATTTAATATTTGTGTATTTCATTATTAATCTTCATCAGGCGGCTCTGATATTTCCTCAGTGGTAGATGCAGTAATTTCAGGAGTAACTTCAGTCGACTTGGACTTACCAAGCTTTTCTTCGAAAATCGTTTCCAATTCCATCGACTAAAAAAAAGGCATTTTTACCACACCATTTAGAATGATTAGTCACCAATCACTACATAGTATAAAACAAAGTCGCTTTCCCGCTGTCTGTCCCTACGTATGCTTAAATATTTAAAACTACGCAACGGATTTTGATGCGGTTTTTTTTTAAAGATACAGTGATTCAAGAGGAAGGTTTATATGTATAATACATGCATAATATAGTAGGGAAACACTGATAATTTTAGAGGTTTCTAATGTGATGTCGTAAATAAACACATTTTTTGCGCTTACATTGCAAACGCTGGCTGAACCCTACGAGATAGATCGAAATAATGTACTACAATATTGTACATCTTAAAAGGGTCTACAAAAAAGTCCGGGATGGTATATGTCTATCTCTTAGGGATAACCCACAATAGCCATTTTTATCTTTTACTTTTTATGAGAAATAATGGCTTATTTACGAAGCGATTTTAAGCAATACAGCATTAATTCTTATCCAATCAAGTACCTTAAATACATTGTGCATTTAATGCATTTAATATAGATCAATATGGCCCTTTACAGCATGATAGCATGAAGATATTACAGTTTTAAAATGCAGGGACATAGCGGTTGCGGCGGTACCGGCCGGTAGGCCGGTTTGTATTGTCTAATTCACCCGTGCGAAGCTAATAGTATAATAACAAGTAGCCTTTGGCTTTACGCACCAATGCTTCAATGCCAAAGCCAAAGGTCCCGGGTTCGATTCCCGGCGGGGGTGTGACAACAGCAACAAAAATATTTTCCTGATTAATCTGAGAAAGTTTGTAGTGGATAAAAAATCGAAAAATGATTTTAAATTAATACCGAGCTAATTGTACTTTTTCTACGTAAGCATTGCCGCGAAAGTCGAATTTAATTCAACGAAAGTTAGTTTCAGAACAGTGTAAATTTAGCAGATATCAGTAGGTAGATGGTTCTAAATTACCAACAAAAAATCGGTTGTCTGTAAAGTCGTTTTACTGACGATAGTTGAACGTGACAACGTCATAAGAAAATACTGATGGAATGGTTTCATTTTTCAAAAGAAAATTTTAATTTTATTTGTTTGATAGATATTTTGTATGGATATAGAGAAGGAGGTAAATGGAAATGTATTATTGTATAGCAGCTGTCCACGCGGACGCATCGCTCACTCAAGTAGGAGAGAGACAGATGTCGAACGCTGCCGAACGCGGAGGCCGATTGTGCCTCTTTGTCGCTCGTTCCGCGCTCTCGCTTGCACTTCAAGCCTTAAATGGAACGCCTCAGAGCGAGGTAACGCCGCATGAGTCATGTTTTTTCGTGCGTGCAGCCGGCTCCATCGAATTATAAGACGTTGTCACGTCAAAAAGTTGACAAGTTACCTTTGTGTACTCCCGTTTGTCAAAGGATGTTGTCGAAATAAATAACAACGGTGCAGTGCATCTTTCGTCGATTCCTTCGCCGAATCGATTGGTTTTTATCGTAACTTTTCGACTTTCCCATAATTCCTCATCAGATGTAATCTCATCTTCATCTTCTTCACATATATCGTCCTCTTGCAATCTACATCCGAATCTGTTCGGTCTGTGAGGCGTTAGGGTGGTACAGAAATCCGTGTTGGTACAGTTACATTTTCTCATAGGCTTCTGATTTTTGCAACCAATTCTAAAAACGTATAGGGTTTATCTAAATCTACAATTAATGTACAAATTTCAGATTCACCTTTTCATTAGTCGGGGATGACACAACAATTCACATTTAGTAGGAAAATGGACTATCGGGCTGTAATCTGCGCTCTTATCGTCAAAACTGGGTCCTAAATATAAATGCTTATCATCCCATCTACAAGGTTTCTAAAACCAACAACAAACAAATTTGACTGGATTGCCGAAACCAAAACTTAACTATACTGAAACAACGACTATGTTAATTGACACTTAGTAGAAATATTATGTAATTAAATAGAACGGGAGCGATTTGTAGGACCTGTAACAAACTACCAATAAGATATTGACTCAAAATGTGAAACTGAAACAAAAAGGAAACCACTAAAGATATGACTTATTTGAAAATCGTCCTATTTAAAATAATAGTTCTCGAATGTAATGCACCATATTCTCTTTTCTAATAAAAATGTATTTATTTATTTATGTTTACTAACGTTAAAGCCCCAGCTCTTGGCTAAGAGGTTATTGATAAGGTTAAAAACTACTTTATCTATACCAAAAAAAATATCTAGTAAGTCAGATAACTCAGGATAGAAGCAGCAGTAGAGATATAAACCTTAGGATAGCGCACGGTTGAATCACCTTCAATAAAGAGAGGTCAATGAAAGGAAATGAAAGTAATGTTTCAAAAAAATATATATATTAATAGTTCACAACAATTGTTTCGTCAAAACATTGACTTCTTCAGGTGAAGATATACATAGCTTGTATTAAATTTACTAATGAAGAAGTAGAAATAAATAAAACAATTAATTTTCTCGACTTAACGATTACTAATAATAACAATATACATGAGTTTTCAATATGCCACAAGCCCACACGTACCGACACAGACTAGTTTACCGTTAAACAAAATTAATTATCAAATAGAATTAAATAGAATACTTCACATAGCTAGAAATAATGGTTATCCAGCTAGATTAATACTGTCTTTGTTAAACAAAAACTCCACAATAAAACTTTAAATTCAATTTACCCGATTATCAAATTTTAATGCAATAAGTATAGTAGTATTACATACTTAAGTAATATTTCCTTAAAAATAAAGTAGGTATATATTGCAAAAATCAAACCATATAGTTACTTCCTTTAAAACCAAGCTAAATTTATAAAATATAATAAAGATAAAACTGATA